AAAAACTGTGCTAATACCAAGTTAGTAGGAAAATGGTGCTCCCCATTATCTAACTATGCAAGAGAGAACAAACATTTATTGTATTCAACTCTCTGTAGCAACACCTCTTAGTAGAGTACTTGAAAGGATTCAAAAGAAACATTAGCATTCAAATAATAAGTAACATCCAAAGCTGAGAAAATATTTAAATAAACATTATACTTTGGCTCTACGTACCTTGTGCATTCGGAAAAAGAGTTGTCGTATGCAGAGAGTGAACTCTAAACTAAAATCCGAAGTCAAAATGTCAAAACTTTTCCTAGTAAAATTTTAACACACAGCTTACTCGAAGAATGTGGCTGGAGTTGAATAAAATACCGCCTACTTGAAGCTTGGTTTCGGCGACGATAATGTTGAAGAAAATGCCCCCGGAGATGGAGAGTTATGGCTGGAAATGGGTACTTTAAGCCCAGTTGATGGAGAATATAGCTGGGGTGGAAGCCCGGTTCCGGCGACGATAATGTGGAAGCAAATGCCGCTAGAGATGGAGAGTTATGGCTGGAAATCGGTATTTGATTTGGGGGAAATGCCAACCAAAAAAATAAGCTGAACTGGAGAGAAATAGATTTCAAATCTTAAGCTGCCTCTGGAGAGAAAGGAAGCTGAACTGGAGCAATTAAAAAGTCGAGCAAAGGGAACGACTATAGTCTCTTTTCTGGTGCCTCATCACCAAAATCAGGTATAGTTTCATAACACAAATCTAGATGAACTTCATTATTTGTATTTCTTGTATAACAATTTTCATAACTTCCCCCAAATTGATAAATCTCCTAAATTTTCATAATTTCCCCCAAATTGACAAATCCCCTAAATTCTACCAGTCAGTTTAACATCAAGAACACAACCTACAATTCTGCCTCGACCACCAAACAGAGACCCTCCAAACATCAATAATATCCAAGAAACGGCACCCATACATACACCCAACAAATTGAAGAACAAAGGCCAAACATTACCCAACAAATATGATATATAATAGCAAGCAAATAACCAAATATTATCACAAGAAAAGATTCAAAACCTTAATTTGAAGATGCACAACCTTGCTTGAAACGACTGCAGAGAAGCCTTCGATTTGAGAAGAAAAATCTCAATACCTTGATTTGAAGATCCCGTAAGCAACCCTGCGATTTGGATTGTGGGTTTGAGGGAGACGAAATTGATTTAACAGTTTGTCTTCGTTATGGGAGAGCCGGAGATGGCAAAGAGAGAGGAATGAGAAACAAGAGCCAGAGAGTGGTGTGAGAGAGAATTGGAAAACGTCATTTCCCGTGTTTTGGCCAGTTCTCGTGTTTTGGCCAGAAAATTTTCAAAACGTGGTTTTACACGTTTTCCATTTTTAGTGTTATTTTTTTTCCATTTTTAGAAACGCGTTTTCGAAAATGGAAAAGAGAACGCGTTTTCACTGTTTTCAAAAACTAAAAACAGAAAACGACTTGAAAACGACAAAGAGAACAAGGTCTTAGCTTCCCCCCTTGAACTCAATTTCACCACTCTCTCATAGTCTTCCATATTTATTAGCAATGGTGATAGCGATGGGACGTGGATGGCAGGAGCAACCATTACCATCATCACCCTGTCGAAATTTTTCGGGGGGTTGAGACGAAGATTTAAAAATTCCCACCCATCATATCTGATTATTATTTTAGAAATACAAAAAAATGAAATGAAATGAAATGAAAAGATCCCAGGATGAGGATCCATATCCTTCCTCGTTTACCATTCATTTCAGGACATGGCAATAGTAGGACAAAGAATTTTAGCATCCCTAGTTAGTAGCCAGATCACAACAATTATGTTATGGTATGACCGTTATAAAAGTATTTAAAAAAAAACACTCAATTTAAACTTTTAATGTAAAGACTTCACTACATTCCTCATTTTACCATTTTTTGTTTCTAGGATGATACAAAACAATTATGGTATTGTATGACTGTCAACTAATTGATTTTAATCGGTTTTAGGGGCAAGATGCGATATAGTGAAATTTGAAATTAAATTGAATTCTAGTGACCTGATTGATGTAATTAAAATCAAGTGAAGTAATTAAGGTTTCATTCAAAGTTCAGTGACAACTATTGAAATGTCACCAACAATTTTACCTTTATTGAGTTATTCTTGTTTTTTGAGAATATCCAGATATCTATCGTCTATTGATTCTTTTGGCAAAAATTAGAAATTAACAATAAAATGTCAAACTTCATTTTCAATTACACATTTCAATGACTGTGCAAGTATTATTATTTTATTCACCACACATTTTCTCAAGTGTTATTCACTTATTCATAAGAATTCTTCAATTTCGTCGGTCGCATGTCCCCTTTCTATACAATTCGAATTCAATTGAGTAGTCTAAAAAAAATATTGAACAAAAACACTACATAGTTAAATTATCTCAATTGGGGCCAAATTAACCGAGTCTAGACATTTTAAGTCCTTTATATTTAATTTGGAGGTAGTTAAGGTATCTTGACTCGAGTAATGTGAAGAATCGAGTTAACTCCAATTAAGACGTGTCAACTAAGATTGAGTGCATTGAATACACTCTGTACAAAACAAACAAAAAAAAAAACATTATTCCAGGAGTAAGATTGAGTACATTGAATACGTTTTAAAACATACAAAACCAACAAAAGAACATTATTCGCTCTTGAAATACACGTATACAATCATAACCGTGACTTTATTAGTTACGAAGTTATTATAGTTAAAAAGTAACCGGACAAAATAAATGAGAGAATTGAATGATTAACTCTTGTTTAGTTGAAGGCATACTGATAGAAAGATTACAACTACAAAACATACCCAACAAATTCCCTAAAAAGAGTCTGTGGATCAATTCATAACTTATTGAAGCATTTGCCAATGGTAAGTAATGATTATAATTAAAGGTGGAGGTGATGACAATTGGTTTAGTTTAATGATCAATAAAGCAACATCTCTCCTATGTCTATACATTTTTTTTTTTGCTTTGATGAAAAGTAAACATCACCAAAAAGTAAGAATTTCTTCATGTCAACTAGAAGTTGTGCTGCAAGAACAAGTGTTCTTGAGGAGAAGCTGGTCCAATTTCTTCTTCTAAACTTATCAAACCTTCGCCTCCACTCGTGCTGTTTCCTGCATTTTTTGCTTCCGAGTTCTTTCCATCAACATCAGCGTCTGAAACTGACGATTTCCTCCTCTGAGAGGATGCAACACTAGGAAAAGTAATCCAAGAGGGAGCTCTGAATTCAAATTTTTGATCCTCATTTTCTGCGACATCTGTTTCTGAGGTCGACCGGTATGAAGATATTTGAGAAGACTTGGTATGCAATCTACTACTTCCCAAAACTACCTCAGTTGGCAAAATAGGTTGCTCGTTGCTTGGTCTACCCATCAAGAGTGCAAGTGCACGCTCCAAAGCTGTTGTCACTTTATCCATAGATGGCCTCTCCTTGCCTCTCATTCTCACGCATTTGCTAGCTACATTTGAAATTCGTTTCAAAGCTTCAAGATCACTCGCGGGTTTCAAAACGGGATCCAAAATGGCTAGTATATCACCAGCCTTGATTAAAGGGACAGCCCATTCAACTATATTCCCTTCCTCATATTGCATGTCAATGGCTTTTCGACCACTGAGAATTTCCAAAAGCAAAACACCAAAGCTGTAAACATCGGATTTGGTCGTGAGATAGTGAAGTCTATAGTACTCGGGATCGAGATATCCAAGAGTTCCAGCAGGTAGCTCAGACAAAGGGGAGCTACTATTTGCAGGTCCCAGTAAAGACAGACCAAAGTCAGCAACACGGGCATTGTGTTCTTCGTCTAATAGGATGTTAGAAGATTTTATGTCTCGGTGAATTACAGGGGGACAAGCATAACCGTGTAGGTATTCAATTCCCCGAGCTGCTTGGACTGCAATAGTCACCCTTTTCACCCAATCCAATTGCTCTTTTAGTGCCTTATTCTGTCCATGGAGGTGCTGATGCAAGGATCCATTAGCCATGTATTCATAAACCAAAAGCCTTTCTCCACCTTCTTCACAATAACCAAGTAAATTAAGCAAATGAGCATGATTTAACCTCGAAAGCAAATCTAGCTCAGTATGGAACTCCTTCGAATCTTTCTTTAAATCTGGAGACATAATAGACCTTTTCACTGCAACTACAGTGCCATCTTTCAACACCCCTTTAAAGACACGCGAAAAACTACCCTTTCCCACCTGTGATTCTTCCTTGAATCCACTAGTAGCTCTCTCAAGTTCCTCATAGGTGAACATTTGAGCTCTCCTAATTTTAAGCTCGTCCAAGTCTGGCTGAATTTTCCCACTCTCTTTCCGGAAAGAACCAATTTCGCTGTTTTTCTTGGACTTAAAAGCTCTTCCCGAGCATCTACAGTTACTTAACTTGTAACGAACATATATAATTGAAGTCAAAGATGCAACAGTCACCACGAAAACAGCAAAGGCTATCTCTGCAACAATGACAGGAAGCTGCAGTGACCAAAATTTTCTATTCTTCTTCCCATTACCAGTAGTATCGGAACAGTTGGAGAAGCACTTGCGTGATATGCAACTTGAACAGTTGTATCTGCACTGTCTGTCTGAAATCGAAGTGCATGCAGAAACTTGGTACATTTCATTAGGGCAGCCATTGCTACAGCGCAAGCAAATGTTGCAACGAGCACTTCCATTTTTAAACTCATAGAAATCAGATGTACAAGGTTCATGCTTGCAAGGTCCGGGCAAAACAGCTAGTGGCAGAGAGGATGGAAATCCAGCTCCCCAACAAACTGGTCGGAGAGATGCATCAGAGAGAACCCCACAAGTGAAGTAATCACCTGCGGCAATCTCATAGAACCTAACATGATTCGGAGTAGGGGTACTTCTCTCAACACGATTACCCCAACAAACCACTTCATGATCATAGCTTTTGATTCCACAAGCATGGAATCTTCCCCCGACAACTGAAAGCATTGGATCATTCGGTGTCACATCCACATTAAGTTGGCCAGAATCCACTAAAGATGCAGAGATCTCTCCGTCCAAGTCCATGCTCCCCCAACAGAAGACACGAGAATCCACACCCTCCAGTATCCCACAGACATGGAATCCCCCAGCTGCAATCTTATGAAACCTCGTCCCCATGGGGATAAGGCCTATTACTCCGCTTCCAGTCTCATCTCCCCAACAGAAAACACTTCTATTTTGAGAAAACAAGCCACAGTTGAAATTTGACCCCGCTGAGATAGATTGGATCTGCCCATCAAACTCATAGCTTTTGGTCATGTTATAACCCCAACAATCAACTAAAGAAGTGTTTCTGCCCTTTCCCGTCAACGGTTTTCTCAAGCCACACAAATGGTGATCACCCGCACTAATTTCCAAGTATTCAGAATCCTTAACCATCGGCCGAGGTACACCAACTAGAACATATCCACTCCTTCCCCAACAATAAGGTTGATTCGAGTCCATCAGAAGTCCACATACAAAGCCATTCCCAGCAGTCAGACCACTAAAAGGGAGATGAGCTGAAACTGCACGGGTAATAGCCGAATTGGACCCATAGCAAGTAACAAGATGAGAGCCATCTGATTTTATTCCACAGAAAACAGGACCATTTTCACCATAAGAAATGGTGATAGAAGACATTGACCCCAAGCCTACAACCTGTCCCCACAAATCCAAAAACAACAGAAAAATTATAAATTGTGCAAACGCCATTTGCTTCCCAGTTATTGAAGTTACACTCTATCAATCAATTCTGATTCTTTCTTCTCCTGTTTTTTCCGATCAAGATGTTTTCCGGAACTAACGAAATACAAGGCAATATCTCTTAGTTGTAACTAACAAAGATTTTCCTCGCATTAAATTGCTGCAAAAAACGGAGTGACAATATAGGAAACATAAGCATGTTACAACGTGTAAAAAAGGCAGTCAGATTCATCTTATTTATCAGTAATAATACTAAATCTCACTTGTACATCCATGGTTGACATCTAAAATTGCAGATTTATCTTGATCTCCTCGCGTCTCTGTCAGTTTATAACCCTTGCTGTGCAACAAAAGCTTAAAACTTTTAGTTCATGTTCGGTGGTTAGTTTAGTACTGGACAGGAAAATCAACGATTTTTTTTTATTATTTTATTTTTTGATCTTCCCTAATAAAGATGCTATTAGACGACAACATAGTATAAAGAAATGGTACAAGGGAAAACATTTCTTGGAAGCCCATTAACTTCCTTGAAGTGCAGTTTCAAGAAATAAAAATATAACCCAGAAAGTATATTCACTTATCAAGGTCAAAAATCAAAATGCATAAACCATACAGTGAGGAATCAAATGAAACTACTACTCTAATTTGCCAACATAGAAATTTCCGAACAATATTTACCATTGAATACAGCAAATCATCTTCCATTTTGTTATTCTCTTACAAGATCCTGAAAACTTGATGCTTGCTCTTGTATATCACCTCGTAAAATACGCAACCCTCGAGCCCAAATAAAGCTGAAAAGGGTAATATCTGCAGCTTGACTAGATCAAGAAACAAACTCTACACCCATTCTGAAAAGGAGATAGTGTTAAGAACATGCAAAGTCTTTCTTCAGAGATTGTCTAAGAAAAAATGGACTAAATAAAAGTGGGGTGGGGGTGGTGTAAAGCAGCCAGGCAAGGCAAGAATGAAGAAGTTGGGGAAAGCGGTGGTGATGGTGAAAATAGTACATCACAGAAGAAAGAAACAAAGAGCATTAAATGCATTAAAACAGATGCTTCTCAAAATGGGCAGGGTGTAGGTGAAGGCATTAAATGACGAAGTTCAATGCAAATTTGATTTTTCCATGCCTGACCTGGATGGATTTATGCTACTGAAGTTCTTAAAAGAAAAGTTTTGTAACTGTATAGATAGCTAAAATGTGTTGGGATGGTTTCAAATTTCAGTGCACCCAGAAAGAAAAAGAGATTGTGAATTATGCGATACTGTGTTTGAGCAACATTATTTTGGATTTTGGACACAAGCATAGTTCTGTAATGTAATTTTCCACCCGAGTCAACACCACCCAGTTAGTTTGAACTGACGTTCAAGTTTGAACTAGTTTGACATTCTTGCCTTGTGCACTTTTTTCAACGAGTTTGTTTCCAATCTCTCATTTTTTGAGGTGCATAATTTTCGGTCTTGAAAGTTAGTAAATTTGTGAGATAATCTTATCAAGCTTCTTAAATATAGAGATATGAATTTCATTTCAAATATTCAGTCATTTAATTAAGAATATTACAGGGATGGAAAGATACGGTGATGTAACCGATAATAATTGGGTGTTGTGTTTTTATTTTTTTCAAACTGTCCAATCATGTGTGGACACAGATACCACCCCCTCCCCCCTCTTATTTTTTAGACTTTTTAAACCTATTTGTGTAGTACAATTGTTTAATTAATACATAAACTATTTTAATAAGTAGTATTTCCTTGAGCGATTTTCACTTGGTGGAAGTGAAACTCACAATCTCGCATCGTAATGTTAGAAGGTGAAAAGTAAAATGTTAATAAATGGACATATCACCACAATGGTTCGTTAATCTCCTAGATTTAGAAGGTGACATGTAAAGTAAAACTATTTAAGAGAGGTTTGTCTATGTTGCTAACAAATGAACATGGGAGTAACGGATTTTCTTAAAAAAAAAAAAAAAAAAGTATTGTATTACCAAACCATTAATGTAGGGAAGATTATTTTTAATTAATACAATAAATTTATTGCTATAAATTTATAAAAAAAAATTACATATATTATTAAGGTGAACTTACTTTTAATAATTCTATGACACTTTCGAAAATTTGTGGAGTGCACAAGTCTACTCATTGTAGAAATCACCTATGTGAGTTGGAATGGATTGTTTCTGCAAAATTTTGTAGGTTGAATTTTCTAAAGACTTGTGAAACCATGGTGATGTCCAAGATCAAAATAGTCACAGACGTTAGAATCAATTCTAGTGGAGGAATGCGGTGTAGCTTCTATTTTCTTGGTTTACAATAACGACTAAGAGCCTGTTTGGGATTTTTTTTCCCACCAATTTTGACCGATTTTGAGTTGTACCGTTTATGCTATGTTGGAAAAATTGGTGTTTGCTTGTTTTTTTGGACACCAGTTTTGGATGGTTTAGAAACCACACAAAATTGGTGTAGTGTAATTTTGAGCGATTCTCTCAACCTATCAAATTGGCCGATTTTGATTGTTTCTCATATTTTCTTCTAATTTTACTATTTATTAAATAATTATTTCCAATCAATATATTTTGTTCAAAACTAAATTGTAAAT